TTTTCTCTAGAACCTAAAAAATTTCCTGTTTATTACAAGGTAGTTTTTGTAAATTTTCTCTAATAGGCAAGCCATCTCCATCAGGTTAACCCTTCAAAAGTTAGTTATCTGCACAATAGCTCATCGACTCAGGCCCTTTGAGAAGAAGGATCAGCATCTTTACTGAGATAAGCCCGGATTCTAGGTGGTTGGTACTCACCTATAGTGTCCTTGGATGTTTCAATAGACCAGAGAGTCTGAGACATGATAATAGCCTAGTCCTACAATCATGACAGAAACAATTTCAAAATAAACGAAGTGATTAACGCTGTGTTACTGAAGATTAAGCACTAACCTTACAGAGCTGAATATAATTAGCATAAAAAATGCAGATCTTGATTCTTGAGAATGCTTTCGTATATTTGATTTCAGTAAAATCATATATGCAAAAGTTTGGCCTTTTCTTCACATTCTATTGCACAGGAACTTCTTGTAAGTATTGGATTAATTTTCAGGGGGAATAACTGTTTAATGCTGTAATTATCAAAGATGAAAGACTTTTTTTTTGCTATTTTCTTAAGGGACTGTAATAGACTAACATTAGGAAGGGCATTTTGGGAAGTCTAGTACTTTTAGGTTAGTAGCCCGTGGCCTTAGTATAAATAGGGGATAGTATATGCAGTAGGACATTATGTGAATTGTGAGGAAATATGTTGAGAGAATGGTAACCTCAAGTTAAGTGATAACCTAAAGTTATCAAAGAGAGTAATAGCCTAAAGCTATTAATATATCACTTTTGTATCAAATTCTGCCATTGTTAACCAAAATTCCAAGATTTATCCATATAATATGCAAATCTGAAAATCAGTCTATTACAGGGACATTCAAGACATGGAAAAGTTGAACCCCTTAGGAAACAACTGTTAGGAAAAAGATAGTTCATTTCACAAGACAAAAAAGGGTTTAATCCCAAAACCATATGGTAATAATAGGAGTACAATATGAGGAAAAGCCGCTTACCCTTATAAATTGTTTAACTGTCTCTTAGAGGCACTCACATGTTGGGGAAGGTATTAATGATCAACAACACCCAAGCAAAAGCTCTTTTATTACACAAAAGTAACAGGACATAGAAATCGTATTCTGTACTAGCAGTCATGATCATATATTGTTGAATTTCAGTGGACTCACATATTTAAACCATCTACAAGCTGATGAGGTACACAATTGAAAGAACAAAGAAATTAGTTCAATGATTGAAGTTTAGACATGCATATTTAATCGAGACAATCCATGAGTTGAAATTCAAAACAGGTAACATATTTATTTGGATTATCATCAGCAACATCACTGCATCTTAAATTGAAATTGACAACAAAGCAAGAGTTTCGAATACCTGGAATTGGTAGTTGCTATTACTACTGATCTTATCAGCTTCTTGAGTTTTTTAACACCGTAATATGAGCAAACAGTTGCAATTGAAAGTCATGTACCTGATATCTAATACGTCAGAACATTGCACATTGACAAATGTATGTATAACTACAATTCTTTACTTTCCACAATGACAAAACATTTAAATTCGAACCAAAATTAAATTGTATGTCATAGAAGATAGGTAAAGACTAAGTATGTTCTGCAAATCGGTTGATCAAGTGCTTCCTCCCACAACTGTTAATTGCATTAGTTAGGAATAGAAACAGCCAACATTATAAATTTATGATGTTCCTCCACTTTTTAGAACTCTACATTACGTATCTATTTGAGAAATAAAAGTAGGCAAAAAAGGGAGACATAGCATCCTCACTTTGCCAAAATCAATTACAAAACTAATACAAAAACTGTCAGGTGCACCAAGCTTATAGTAATTTTAGAGTAACATTTTAGCAATTTTGGGGTAATTATCAACCTCCTATATTTCTTTTAGTGTACATGGGGTATTTTTAAGCTAGACATAAATTTTATAGAGGATAATATAGTCAGTCACCTATATACATTATGATTAATTTTTACAAAATTTATCATCAAAAGAGCAATTTTATCAAAAAAAAAAAAAAACCCTTGAATAATCTATTATTTAAAGGTATAAAATTGTACATAAAAATAACTAAAATTTAGCCATTATATATAGAGTAGATGTAATACCCCGTATTTTCATACGTATTTTCCTAATTAATTATTATTTTCTAAAAAGGGTATTTTAGTAATTCAACTTACTATTTAAATCTTGGAGCCAAAATGATATTTGAATTTTGGCGCCAAAAGTATTTTGAAAACTAATCATTATTTTGGATAAGATTTATTATCCATTTATCCTATTTTAAAAATCGGATTATTTATATTTCAGATATTTTAATTAAGGCAAAAGCTATATTTTATTATTATTTTAATAGGTCTGAAAATCCCAATTAATTAGCTAATAATTTCGGATATTTCCTATGTGAAAACCTGATTTTTATTTCGTTAAATTATTTGGTGAATATTTGGTATTTTATTATTTAATTATTTATTACAATAAATATTATTTACACAATTATTTTTAATTCCTTAAAACTAGCAAAATATATTCCTAAATACTAAATAGGAGGGCCAAAAATATGAGCTTAGGAAAGCTCAAAAATTTCGGCCATCCCATGAAGATTTTGGGAAAATATTTTGGTAATTTGTATTTTTAATTATTTTCTTAAAATCTCCTATTTTCCTTAATTCTAATTCTCCATCTTTTTAATATTCAATCATTATATTTTCTCGCCATTTATTCTTCTTAATTATTCCCCAAGTAATTCCAATTTCCTTAATATTTTTCATGACATACATATACCTTCCATATTCAATTATACACAATCCCTTCAAATATCAAAACTTTCCTTAAATCTTTGCTCACTTCTCCAAGTAATCTCTTAAACCCTAATTACCATAATTCTTCCTAAATTTTCCTACCATAATTCATGCTCATACTAGCCTATAAATACCCTTTCATACCTCTCACATTCTTCACACCAATTCTCTTCTTTTCTTCTCCTTAATTGTACACAAATCATCCCATTCATCTTTGAAGCTAATTTTCGGGCACTTCTGTTCATTTTTTGGGTTAGTGACGTTTCACAGAAAGTTGTTCCTCTCAAAAATTCTTGAGGTTAGGCTCAAGAATCACCCAATTCGGAGCTATATCGAAGGAGTTATAGCCTCTGAAAGTTCTGCCTATTATTTCCTACGCAAATCCAATTCTTTTCTTCTCCTTTTCTTTTATTCAATTATTATTATTATTATTATGGGAGATTAATATGAAATTATTATGAGTAGTTTTAATTATATAAAATCAGATTTTAATAATGTTCATGTTGAATTAATTTAAGAGGTTCATGTACATATAGTTGGGAGGGTTTAATTTAATTATTTGTGATTATTTGTTAAACTTATATTGATTAAGGTTGTATTTATTCGTAGGGTGTTTTTGATCAAGCTACTTGAGAGTTCTTTTGAAGTGTTGTTGGCTAAGTGAAGATCAAGGTACGTTAGGTGGCTAGATACCTTGAAAGTGATCGATTTGAATAACATGTTTGAATGATTTTATGATGAATTGAATTAAATTGAATTGAATTATGGTTTATGAATTAAAAGTATGTTTAAAAGGATGGTTTTAATGATTGAATTGGAGTATTGATTTTTATAACATGTTTTTTATTCATGTTTAAAAAGGATTGATTTTGAAAGCAAGTTGGATTTATGGAAAAGGAGTTTGGATTGTTTTCATTAAAGGTTGAATTATTGGATTTAAAAGAGGATTTATTGAATCATGGATTTATTATTATTTATGCTTTATAAGCATGTTGGTAATCCCACTATGCGGATTTGGTTTATTGATAAGGCCTTGGACTTTGCATGACCGGGTCTTTCCTCAAGAATAGCCTTGTAACATAAGAAGACTAGCTTGGGAGGTGTGCACACTTGGGAGAGGAATTGGTTTTAATATGAGGAATTGGTTTTTAAATAATTGGAATTGGTTTTATTGATTATTGATATTGGAATTATTGAGAATTGGTTTTAAACCATGAGTTTGGAATTATTGGATTATTTATTGGAAATTGGTTTTAAAGCATGTTTGCGAATAAATTGAGTTTAATGATCTTGCACTTATCGTACTTAGCATATTTTGCTAACTCGTACTTCTTATTTGTTTTGGTTCGCCCTGTTTACCGTAATGGTAAGCAGTGTTGCGTATTTTCAGGTTGGAGTCAATAAATGATGCATTGGAGACCCGGGATTGGTTTTCACTAAATTAGGAATTTGGTCTTGTATCTATTTGGAGCACTCATAACATTGGTTACTATTATGGTTATTATTAATAAAGAAGAGTATTGAAGTTTCCGCTGCAAAGTATTGTTATTTTTAGTAAGTTGAGTAGCCTTGCGTAATCACGCGGCGGTAATACGCCTAAGTCTATCTCTACGGTATAATTATACAGATAATACTAGTATTTCCGTAGGGGGAGATTTGGGGGTGTTACAGTAGATTAGGTGAATATCATGTTGCACTACCTTCTAATCATTAGTAAGCATAATTAAAAGCATGCTAATTTAAGTATGTGATCATATATCTCCACTAACTCGATGCTAATTTAGTGCTACTAATTTGTTGGAACCACTAATGTGAAGAATTAATCTCATACCATCCTAATGACAATGAAAGTATTAACTTAGGGCTCGTTTGGCATCGTTGTGGTTTTTTGTTTTTTGGTTTTTTGTTTTTTAAAAGTATATTATATATGTCACATAATGAATCAAAAATTATTTAGACTTATTAAAATCATGCTAATTTTAAAAACTGACAACAGAAAAGTGAAAACACCTTTTTCTTGTTTCCTGTTTTTGGTTTTTAGTTTTTTTAAAAAAGGAAACTGAAAACCAAAAATGATGCCAAATAAGCCCTTAGTTCATAAAAAACGCTTATAACTATGATTATGAATTCTAGGAAGCTTTTAGTTGGTAATACTTACTTGTATAGGCAGAGCTTGGTTGACTTCAAGATAGAGGCAGGGAGCATCTTCCACAAAGTGTAAGTATAAGGCCATTCGGATCATATCTCAAATGTTGTTCTATCATATGACAGTTACTAATAAACACATGATCATTGCGTGGAGGAAGGCCATTGTCACCAAAGGATTCAAGCTTGGGGCAAGAGTAGATATCAATATTGGTCAGGTTGGGAAGAGTGGAACAACACAATGTTGTCAAATTTGGTAAGCCCGCAATGTGTAACTTATACAGGGAAGAGGGAAGCTCAAGACCGCTTATGCACTCTATTGAGCTGCCTATATTTTTAAGTTTAAGAATTTGAAGGGAAGTTAGAAGGTGCAATCCCCACTCTTGTATTGGTTTTTCTATGTTAGTTCCTGAAATTGAAAGTTGCCTCACATTGGATAAACCTGCTATGAAGTTGCAGAATTTTGGACAACTTTCCAGCGATAATTCTGTAAGCGAGGTAAAGTCACTAACCAAGGATACAAGCTTTGGGCAATCACTAACATGAAGATCAGTGAGGTTGGGAAGGGTGTTTCCATTGGCTATAGTTTTCAAATATCGAAAACTCTTGATATTTAGTTGTGACAAGGAAGACGGGAGAGGAAAATCTAGGCACGGAAGACACTCTACTAAGTCTGCACAGCAGCCTACATTCTGAAGAGAAAGATTTCTAAGTAAATGAAGAGAGCCTTTTGGAAAGTGAAGTATTCTGAGGTATTCTTCAACCTTATTGAGAAATTGACCAGGAAGAATTTCCATGTTTTCACAATCCCACAAATCAAGTGTTTGTAAAGCTGGGAAAAGAAGGCCTTTTTGTAATGATATTAGACTTGGGAATCTTTGTATTATCAATTTGGTGAGAAGAATAAGTTCTAATATATCCTTTGGGGAGACTCCAATGCTTTCTTCAGTTTTCAAATCATTGTCACTTTCAAGAGAAAAATGTAGTTCATTAAATTCTTCATACCTCAGCTTCTCACAGTCATCAATCTCCAACGATTGTAGAGTCAAGGGAATATGACTAATAGAGACAATAAACTCACACTCATCAACACTAAGTTCCTCAAGACGAGAAGTTGAGGAAGACAAATTCTTCAATTCTAAGAATTGTAGTTCCCTGCAGTTACAAATCTTAAGCCGTCGAAGCATCATTGATATCTGGTCAATGGTGATGGGAACAGACAAGCAATTGACAATGGAAATCTCTTCATGAAGGTATGGAAAACTCCAATTTAAGCTAATAATCTCCAATATATTGCAAAGAATCATCCGTTTTGAACAGAAAATGACATCCGCAGTTGTAGACAATATTTTACATCCATCTACATTTAACACTTCTAGCAGATGAAGGCTTGGAAGTGACACACTTAAATTCTTGCATTCTTTGATTTCTAGTGTTCTAAGAGAAGGCAAATGAGGAAGTAAATTGCCTTGCAATGACAAACAATACTTAATGGAAAGCATTTCAAGGAGGGGGAATGCTCCGCCGATGTTGTCAACTGGTGAGTGCACCCACTTCTTTAAGGACACCAAATTCTCAATATATAAAGTCTTAAAGATGGAAAAGGAGTCGTACAATTCCCATAAAATTTAGGACCAACTTCTGTGATACCATTCATATCTTTGACAAGAAGACTCTTTAATGAGGATAGCTGCCCTAACGGAGGCAAGAATTCACATTTCTCACACTCCTCAAGTCTTATGTGAACCATGTTGATGAAAGAAGGATCTCCCAACCAACTTGGGAGTGTTGAGCCCCTGTACCCATCCAACTTACACTCTTTGATGGAAGTGTGAGGCCGCAACTTCTCAAGAACATCTCTTTTAGTGTTGTCATCAACCTCATACCAACACCTTTCCCATTTCAGATGCAACCTATCTACACTATCTTTATCATGCAATCGCGCTTCCACTGCATCCTCAACTTCTGTCAAGTTTTCTAGTCAAGAGATGATTAATCTTCCACGAAGATGATTCACCTCCCCTAACTCTCTTACTCTCGACCCACCCTTAGGTGCCAAGACAAATTTATCTAAACTCTGCAAGATTTTTAGTTTCTCAATTCCCAGCGGCATCTCTTTTAATCTGGTATAATCAACGGATAGATGGCGAAGTTTAACGAGGAATCCAACACTTTGGATCTCCTGAAGATAAGAACACCGACTCAACTCTAGTGTTTGGAGGTTTCTGAGTTTGCTGATTGACTTTGGCAACACTTTGATTTGCTTTAATAAGACAACAAGAAGCTTCAAGTGCTTCAAATCACCAATACAATCTGGCAACTCTTTGATTTTCATCGAAGATAGACATAAAGAGCGTAAATATCTGAAGTGTTGAATATAATTCAACATTTCAATATTCAGATCATTAGAGGATGAATATAGAAAAGTTCGTAGATGAGAAGCAAAGAGTTGATTCTCTACTACTTCATTTACACCAGTATCTGTCACATACATATACATATGGCGCGTTCTTTTCAGAACATTATGCAGATTCACAGTATCTGTTACATAACGGAGGTCACCTGCAGCCCATTTTGCCAAATCATGGATGAGGTCATGCATAGTGAACATTCTAGGACCTTCCTCAAATATGAATTCTTCTACATCAGGTGTGTATTCCTCAATTAATGACCTTGATACTAGATCAAGGAAGCAATTGTGGCCTACATATTCTATTCTTTCATTCTTGTTTTCTGGTAGGAAGCCCTGAGCCATCCAAAGTTTTATGATCTCCATCTCCTGAAAATGGTAATCTCTGGGAAGCATAAAGCAATAAGCAAATAAATGCTTCAAATGAGATGGAAGATGATGATAACTCAACCTTAGAACCGGTAAAACACTGCTCTCCTCGCTCCAAATATTGCTATCTAATATTCTTTGGCGATGACTTTTATCTATTGCCTTTCGTAGGAGACCTCCAAGAGTTTTTGCAGCCAAAGGTAATCCTTTGCATTTGTGGACTATATCATCCCGCATCTCAGAAACGTTAGAAAACTCATTAACATGCCGTTGAAATATACACCAACAATCCTCATCTGACAGACACTTTAAATAGATGATGGTGTTGTGACGATAATTTCTCATCACCATTCTCACAGTCTTCTCACTTCTTGAAGTAACTATAACTCTGCTTCCTCTTGCGGCACCAAGAAAAGGTGTTTGTAGCTAGTTCCAATCCAAGTATTCCTCACTCCAAGCATCATCAAGAACAATAAAGAATTTTTGGCCTTTTAGTAGTTGTCGCAATTTCTCTTGTGCTTGATTCAGGTTACTACAATCAATATTCCCCTGGGTGAGCGAGTTGATGATATCTTTTGTTATGCGTTTCACATCAAACATATCTGACACGGTGTAGACACCCAAATGCGTCTCCCCAAAACCAAACCCAGTGATGAATACCTTTCATGTCATTTGATTATCGAACAAAGCAAAAGTGTGAAAAGTCTAGTGATGAGGATGTTTTTATTAAAATATCTCTTCTTTCTATTTTTGAAAATATTTCTTTTCTTACCTTATTTTTGAAAAATGTGCATTACAGTTTAGTTTGGTCCATGATAAGGGTCCAATAATAGTGTAGTTGGATAGGGCTTTAAAAGACCTTTTCAACGATATATTATAAGCCCAATTCCGATGAATAATGAGGAAGTTATGGCCAAAATACTAAACTGGGCCCAGGTTGGTTTTTACCTACAGCCCAATGATCTAGAGGAGGGCCTATTATTAATTATCATTCCTACAACTATTAGGATTGATTATGGTCTTCTATAATATTTTAGAAGGTTCTCTTAAATCCTAATGGAGTTAGGATTGATAATTATGTTTCAAAGAGTTTGAAACTGAATAAAACTACTCTTTTTAGAATCCTTGTTTTGTACGAAGTGGAATATATTCAGATTTTATTTTCGTGCCTCATAATCTTAATCCAAATCTTATATGGTTGGATAGATATTGAAATTATCTTTTCAATGATATCTTATAGAATTAAATCCGACTTATAAAGAAAAATATATGAATGAGATATGAAACTTTATCCAAAACTGACACCCTTCCACTATTTCGGCCATATCTTTTTATCTACAAAATATTTTAATCTGTTTCTAATTGGATTAAAAATTAGACTTCAAGAGCTTTCCAAAAACATATTATATGACTTATTTGGACTTTTGGATCAAAAGGTATGATAAAAACAAAATTCGCAAAAAACCTGTTTTGCAGAGCCGGACGCCAAGCCTAGCGTCTGGCGCCACACCTAGCGTCAGGCGTTAGAGTCTAGCATTTGGGGCCACGCGCATGTTTGGCGCTTCGGTCGTGTTTTATTCTTTTTGAAACTCTGATTCGTTTTTTTATCACATCTGGCTGATTTTCTCTATAAATAGCCTCCTAAAACCTCCGTTTTCCATCATCAATTCTCATCAATTCTTCTCACCAATTCTCATCAATTCTTCAGAAATCTCTCTCTCATCAACTCTCATCAAGAATTTCTTGATTCTCCCTCTTTTCTAAGCCTAGCCTTTTACAAACACAATCCCTCATACATTAGCACTAGACATACCTAGCTAAGTTCGAAGTTGCCTTCGCCCCAGACGTGAAAGGTTTTAATTTCTAAGGGTTTGGTCCCAAATCTCTATTTCAATTATTTAATTTGATTGTTGATTTTATTATTTTCCTTAAAGTTACTAACGCGTGTATTTTGTTATTAGAAAGAGGTACGAGGCATCCAAGCAAGTGTTTTAATTGATTTATTGCTATTTTGATATAGAAATCATGCTTAGATTATTATTTTGATTCCTAGTATCGTGTTTAGGGTAATTTCTTATATCAAGTATGATTAAAAGAATGCTTCTTAGTATGATGTTTATGGTAAAGAATAAGTTTTTAAAATCAATAATGATTTCTATGATGCCTTTTATTCTCTTTCTAATATTCATGTTAGTATCATGTTAGAGCTATATATTTGATCTTTATTGTTTAGTGATATGCTAGGGTTTGTTATTAATCTTGTTAGTATCATGCTTAGAATCTTGCTATTAATATTATGCTTTAACATGATTATGATAATTATGATTATGATTATGATTATTGTTATAATTATGATTATTATTATGATACTTTTATTATGTTGCTTGATATTTTTATTGTTATTTCTTGATCACGCCTTTTATGCATGTTAAAAGGAAATTTGTACTTGTAATCACTCTTAATAAGATAATTAATAATCTTGTTTAGGGTTAATATGATTATAATTCAAGTGATCTCCAATAATAGATTTATTTGTGCATTAATATTCAACCATCATAGATAAACAAGTTTAGGGTTAATCCTATTGATTGCATGTTAGTCAGAAAGCGCACATGAATACGATCAGAATAAAGTAGAGGCCTATTATTAGGGCAGGTTTAATCTCGTTTAAGTTGGATTTGTACCTTCATCCCCGAACTACCAGTCATGGTTCCAGACCTATTGGAGTTGACGATCTCCTAGATCGTTATATTAAATTACTACCACACAAATTCCCTAACTATATATATTGCTACCACTTATCGAAATCCGTTAAGGTTCTATTAAGTAGGCCACATATTTCATTAAAAAATAATTTAGATTATTTAAAAAAACTTTTAAAAAAAAATTCTCAAACACCCCCCTCCTTTGTCCCGGCGTCAGCCACCCTCCACCCTCCCCCCTCCCCTGTCCCGGCGTCATCCACCCTCCCCCCTCCCCTTGTTGTTGGGGTTTTGTGAGTCCGACTCACCGCGGAAACAAACCCAAAAACAAGACCGCACTCGCAATAAATAAAACCATAAACATAATTAAATTAATCACAAGATTAAGATAAGCTAATTACCTTTGACGCGTGCTTCGCTCCAAAATGAGCTCTTACTTGAAAGCTTCAAGTCCCGCTCACATGGAGACCTCCAACGAAGTCCACCCGCACCAACAAAACCGACTAGGTCCAATGTCTTGGGGTTAGCAAGACCCGACCAATAAAACCCGAGTAATTATATTGAGTTCAAAGGTTTTCACTAATTGTGATGCCTTCTCCAACTCTTACTCAAGCATCATTCCCAATGCCCATACTTGGGTATTTATAGGAAATGATGGGAGTATCATTTACTCTCCCATCAATGTGGGATAGTATGATTTTTCTATTTTATTTTAAAGCTAAAATAAAATTAATAATCAAGCTAGTAATAAATCAACAAGTGGTAAGCTCATGTGAGTGGTTAGGTGAGGACCACTTGGATAAGGGGGGGACCAAACTTGCTCCCCACTCCCTCTCCCATAACCGGCCACCTCACTCCACACACACTCAAGGACCACAAGCCACATGGCACCCACCCTTGGGCACCAAGGCAGCCAAGGTGGGCTGCCATGTGCTGCTGTCTGTGGCATCCACGCCCAGCAAGCCCAGCAGGCCTAGCACTCGCATGCGGGCTGCCAGACGCTGCTGGCCAGCAAGCCCAGCATGCTTTTGAGGGCAGCTGCTGGCCTTGTGCCTTGGCCAGCGCTTCTAGGCAGCAAGCAATGGCCTAGCCATGCTGCTGCTAGCTGTGGCGAGCTGGCGCGCCTAGCGTGCTAGCTGCTGCATCTTGTTGCGGCATGGCTTGCTAGCCATTGCGCGCACAAGGCTGTGCCTAGCATGCTAGCACGCACTAGGCAGCGCCTAGCCTTGCGATGCTAGCATGGGTGCGCTAGCACGCACTAGCCAGCCTAGGCTCGGCTTGGTGCGCATGCTAGCCACCATGCTAGGCCATACGCCCTTAGCACTCGGTTTGTTTGGGCATTCCGATGCTAGGGGTATTTTGGTCTTTTGTTGATTTATTACTATTTCTCGTTTCGTCTTTCACTATTTTTCGACTTGACTTCCGACGCTCGGTTTCAACGCTCTAAGCTCGAATTTCCGACGTCTAAATAAATATTACTCGGTCGACTCATTAATTCCTTCCGAATTAATTCGCCAGTTTGGTTTGTTGAATGCTTGGGTGTGACCCGAAGGGTTCAGTCAAGATTAAGCTGTAATATTAATTATTCATTAATATTACTGATCGGAAGCGGCCTCCACCCAGGCATTCCGATCACTTGACTTCACTGAATATATTAGCTTTCTAATAATTTTGAACCCACTAACGGAATAGTACACTTGTTCGAAGGACACCATTCCTTTCAATCTCCCACTTGTCCTTCCGGAGAAGTGCGCATTTTGTGTACAACCTTTTTCCTATGTCGCTTAATGTCTCTTCATGAACTATAAGGTAAGATTTATTTTGTCATCCTTATTACGTCCAGAAGTGTTTCCCGATTCCGAGTCCGACTGTCAATAAACAGATGATTTCTAAAATCCATCCGAGCACGGCCATGCATTTTACAATCTCGCTCTACGAGAGGCCTTGTATACAACAAAGACATCTTCCCTATTTTAGCAGGGGGACATTCCCAGTCTTGTAATGTAGCTCCTCTTACTGAGAGGACCTAGTCGCCCGAGTGTTGCCGTTATAATCCCCTATTACGGCAGACGTTTGACAACATCAAAGCGAACTAGTACTCAAACAAGAGAACTCACAATACTTATGGTCGAGGAAATAGGTTCCGATAGCCATAATGAGAAGTATACTTATGACAAATTTTTAATTTCTTAAAGTATTCTCATAGGTCGATCCAGTATGGTTCTAAACCAATACCTGTGCAAATGATTTATGACAATCATGTCCTTGTAGCACATGAAACGGTGCTGTAAATCAAACTACACACTAATCTCAATCGGTCATTAATCGTCCATCGTTTAAATGACCTTGATTAGGAATAGTTTTTTATTATAATATGCAATGTTCACTTAATAGGTGTTTCCTTACCAAGACTGGTCTTGATACCCTATTTTGAATATTCTCAAAATTGAATGGACTCATTATTTAATCCTAAACCACAATTAAATAGCATAACGGAGTAATAAAATATTGCATGAAATTTTATGTTACTCCAAAACTTGAATGATTTTCCTTAGCGTCTTACATTAATTTTTCTCAAAATTAACTAAAACACTAAACAAGGAAATCAAAGCCAGTCTCCTACATGCTTGATTCCCATTGCCTCAACGT